AAGGATTTACGGGGCGGGGACAGCAACTTGTTGTCATTCGTTTCTCAAGCCAGATGCAAATCCAATGGCCCACTGAGAGTACCCCAAAAACGGGGTAAGCCAGCTAAATGATAAACCCTTTGCGCCACAAAATCAAGCTGGCAATGTGTATCCTCGAGCATACCAAATATTTGTAATGGTTAATGTGATTAAGGGCATTTACATTTTCTTTTTACCATTTCTGACTTTAAAATTGTGCTGGAAACATAAAAACATCACAAAAACAAAACTAATTTAGGAGAATTTATATATATGGATTGATGGACTCAATATTCATGAAGAAAGGCACAAAATATCAGCTTCAAAAGAAATAAAAACATATTACAGTCCTCTGCACAAACTTCACTTCGAATATATCTTACCATGTTTGGTATTTTTAGGGCATAGCATCTTCGATGGCGAAGAAAAGTTATTGTTTTCTTCATTTGGCAACTGCTTGTTGACATCGCCTCTTGGACAAGGACAATAAGGACCAAGTGCAGAGCTGCGGTTAGTGGGCCCAAACAATAGTATTGATTTAGGCCAAGTCCGGCCATCTAACATATGTTACACATGCCGCAAGCGCGGTCATGTCTTGGTGGGCCAGGGAAATTGTATTTCGGGGCCTTGTGGACTGACATTCAGGCTCTGCCATGGGACTTCGACTTTAATATAGCAGAGAGTCTGCCTGGGCTTAATCGCATTTAGCTCATTTAGCGGCAAATTGAATTTGCCAACGTCACGACCCTCAATGAAAACCCCTGAATAGGCCCCCCGAAAATGAGAAATTCAATTAAAATCAAATTTTTACAACAGCACCCGCTACCCAGATATCTTTAAACGGATTTTCAGTTACAATTTCATCGCTTTAACATGGCAAACACACAAAATCGAAGCGGCGATAAATAGGCTGAAATAATTGAGCTTCTGCTGGTGCCATGGAGGCATCATTCCATCATTTTCCCATCTCCCAGACGCCATCGTAATCCCAGTCCCACCCACTCAATCCCCTTCTGAGGAAAGGAATACGGGATAATCGCCTCAGTTTTCTTTGCGGCCCACAAAATTTTTATGCGTGGCAATATTTTTTGCGCTTGGCTTCAGTTTCACACAGGCCACTGTTCGTGATTAGCTTTGGTCATGGATGGACTCGTCATGATCATTGGAGTGGGAAAAGGAAGGCACTCCCGATAGTAGTAAATGGGGGAAAGGCAAAGGCTTTGGCTCACTGGCTGGGGCGATAATTAGGACTCAAAATCCTAGTCCCGAAGATGATTTATGATGCCAGCGCTGCTGGAGTTCATAGCTCGCTAATTTATTACATTTTCGCCGTTAGGGATCAACGCTTTTCCACTCCGCTCCACCGCCCAAACAATCCCGAAAGTTCTCTTACTTAAACTGTAACTAAAATATAATTGAGTTGCCACTGAACTTGACTTTCGTTTGTCTTCATAAATTTAACTTGCTGTTTTCGTGCCAGTAATCGAATAATATAATTTTCAATTAAAATTTCTTTACAAAAGTACATTTGTCTTGCATGAAATTAAAATAAAGTTTTAATTTTTTAAATGTACGTTTTCAATGCCATGACTCATGATATTATAACCCATCTGTTTTTGTATATATGAACAGAACATTAAAAAACTTGTTCAAACGCAAATATTAATAAAATAAACACATAAGTTCTTAAGCTAGAAAAGCAAACGGTTGTCGGTGACGTAACTGGGCAGCAGCTGTCTTGGAGGGGATTTCTCTGGAAAAATTTAAAACTTTAAAAATATGAAAGGGCTTTAGCTGAGGGAAAAAGGTATTTTCATTTGACTTTTTCTAAGCAGAACAAGGAAACTAAAGAGAAATTGCGTTCCTACATTATGATTGCCCTTTTCGCTTTGATTGCTGTGGCTGCCGCTTAAGGTGACCCAGCAGGTGGAGAACTAGTAGCGGTCAGCAAGGATCCCAGCAGGGAAGTCCTCAGGAAGGACAAGGTGGCCGGCAGGGTGCTCCATGGGTTTTGCCTTCGAATGGGAAAGTTCTGTCCAAAAGCACATCACCTGAAACCACTGAAGCTATTACCACAGAGGCAAATAACCACTGAGGTTTCCTCATCTAATGGTGTAAATACCTAGATACTAATCTAAACAAGAAAGGCAGCAATTTTCGGTCAGCTGAAAATTGTATAGTTTTTTTCGTAAAATTAATGAATAATCAGATTGATATCCTGGCTTATTGCCTTATGTTGTCAAACTAAACTTATTAAACTAGTAAAAATCCTTTTAGCTAATGCCTGCAAATCGTTTGATGATGCTCCTGCTCATTTCGGTAAAATGTTTTGTATAATTCCAAAGCAGCAATTTACGCTGAAAAGTATGCAACACTGTTGTGCTTCTGCTCAAAACCACTTAAAAACAAATCCCAGGAACGCTCCTCATTTCCACCTCCTCCCCCGAGAGTCTTCGCAAATTGCCACTGCTCCGAAATCTGCGACAAACATCAGTTGCAAATGCAGAACGGATGACTGGGGGGAGGGGGTGTGGGGTGAACGCATATGCGGTGGCTCATGAAATGCAGTACAAAGTATTCCTCATCCACTCGCTGTTCAGCGAAGCGGCCACTTTCAGTGCACTGAAGGGTTTGGCCGCAGAGGAGAGGAGAGCTGGGTGGATGGACGAAGGTCGTCAGCTGTGGACCGGCGAAATGATCAATTGATTTGCATTTCCCATTCCGGAAAGCGAACAGCGAAGTGCAGTGCAAAGGCGCTTTAAGCCAGCCTTGCCATTGACTGGACGCTGCGGCAAGGTTTAACTCCGCCGAGCTTCATAAGCACTTAACCCAAGTCAGCCAGAAGGTATTAACTGGGGGCCAAAAAAATTGTTGAGCATTCCATTTCCATTTTGGACTTAGAATAAATTTATTAGCGAGTTGGGCCCCTTATAAAAAATATTGTAGAATTTGTTGTTAATTCTAAAAAGCTATTGTACAAGTTTTGAGTAAATCCTTTAATTCATTTCGGGTAATAAATCCATAAAATATTTCCCAAATATTCCTAATTCAATTGACTTCCAATCGAATGTTTGCCAGACTACCATTGATTTATTTCTGATTCAGTGATCTGTTGGGGCCACAGGTGGGTTAAGCCAGCTGCCACATGCGAGTGGGGCATGTGAGGAACTGGGGCGAGTGGGGCAGGCAAAACAGCTCGCTGGGGAACAGTAAATCACGTCGAGCGCAGAGCGCAAATTGGTTAGTGAAACACATGAACCATTCATCAGGGGGCAAAGGGAGGGCTCTCACACACATGAGCTGGCAGCCGACTAAATTCGCGCTTTTGAAAAATGAAAGCAACTACAAAAGTACAGGAACACACGCAGAAATACCAAAGTAGCAAATGTAATCTGCAAGGGACCAAAGAGGTGGGTTCGGAGCGGAAGGAGCTGAAAATCATATTATCCTTGGGTGGAATTAGTTGCCCCTTGCCGAAGCAGAGAGAGAAATTAGCATTCAAACCTTTAGCAATATAATCTATCAATTGAAGTTCTCTAAATTTTCAAACTTTGAAAACAAATTAATCCCTTCTATGTCACATGTTAAATATATGAACATATATTGAATATTGTTACTAAATTGTTGGGGTTATTGAATCCAACATTTGAGTACATTTGCCTAACTTTCATATAAAAATGTCCAGAAAAATAAATCTTCATATGGCGAACTTTTAAAGCCCACTAGATTATTTTTTGTGTGCATTAGCCAACGCAGCAGGAAGTTCTACCCAACGTAACTTAACTTGAGTAAAGTCCTCGCTCTGCTTTGCGTCGCTCCAGCTTGCCCTCATAGACTTTAGTTGCACAAATTGAAAGGAAAACACATCCTGGCTTCCTGCAAAGGCTGCACGAGCAACCAGCAACAAAAGCGGTAAAATCAAGATGAGCAGCAGTCGCGCTGAAATGCAGCAAATGAAATTTCCCAAGGCCGAAGCGATCGAAGTGAAATTGAAAAAATAATCATAAATATTGCATGCAGCTTGGTTGGGCTCTTTTTGCCATTCTTTTTTTTAGCCGCTTTCGTTTTTTTTTTGCCCATTAAGCGGCGGAAAGTAAATGCAGGCAGCACCAGTTAAGTATACGCCGCGTAAGCCTCACAAAGTTGAACCCGAAATGTGCACAAGCCGCTTCGTGTCATCCATGGCTCGATTCCGGATGGAAATGAGATGGGTTGGGGTTGGCTTTTGGGTTAGAAAGTGATGAAGGTGGGAAGCATCTCTGCCATATTTACACGGCACTCCACTTCAATGGCGATGCCGCCGCGGGCAAGGAATATTCTAAAATGCTTCGTGTGAAAATAATTTGAAGGCGGAAAACAAGGTTAGAGGGCTAATGGCAAGCTTTACGACTGTAAGATTCTCTGGTATTTGGAATAAATTTTATTCTGATGGATAGGAATCTGTAAGCTGTCAATATTTATGTTTTGTACTAAATAATGTTGAAAGGGTATTTACATTAAATTGTTTACTAAAAAAAACAAACTAAGCAAATAGTTGTAAACGTTAGGAACCACTTTAGGCTGAATATGACGTATATTTCAGGCAACATTTATTCACAAACTTCGTCTTTGCTTCTAGCTAAGTAAAAATATTTGATTGCTATGAAATAGTTAGACAAACGATAAGATCTATTTGAAGCAAGAAACCGAAATCAAATCAAAAGTAACTGCCAGATGACGCACAGAAGTTAAATTAGTCAATGGTAAACAGTAAACATTTCGCCCAAGCTTAAAACTCTAATTGTGTCTGGTTTTCGGCTCTACCAAATTACCACAGACGTTTGTTTGTTTTGTGTGACGTCGGCTAAGCACCAGCTGTTTTAGAAGACATTTCTTTGGGCTTGATGGAAAATTTCAAGAGTATAAAAGGGCTTGGGCTTCGGTAAAAAGGTATCACAACCTGATTTCCCACAACGAAAGGCAAAACTATTAAAAAAGAAAAAATGCGTTCCTACATTTTGATTGTCCTCGTCGCTCTGATTGCCGTGGCTGCCGCTCAAGGTGGACCTCAACAAGGAGGCCAGGGTGGATCCCAGAACGGTCAGCAGGGCGGTCAGCAAGGATCCCAGCAAGGAGGTCCTCAGGGAGGACAGCAGGGTGGTGCTCAGAATGGCCAGCAGGGTGGTCCTGGTGGATCATGGAACTCGCCTTCCAACGCAACAGTCTCCTCCAACTCAACCACAACTACAACCAGTGAGGATAGCACCACAGAGGCCAGCACCACTGTGGTTTCCTCATCTTAGGATGTAGCTGAATGTCACATAATACATTTTTGCAATTGATATTAATAAAAGAAGTTTTCCTTTAAAAGGTTCTAGTTATCTATTGAAAAAGTATATATAATAGAGATCCTCCGAAACAGTTCCAAAGCACCCAAGTAATCAGCTAAGCAATATACCCACCAACGGCAAAGAATAGGAACACATTTAGTAGAGTAAAAGGTGTTACAAGCGCCGAACACGGAGAAGCGCTTAAAGCGCTCGGGGTTGTTTGAGCATTTAACGGAAAAAGTTTTGCCATTCAGCCACCGCTCCACCTCCTCGCGTTTTTCCGCCCACAGAGCTCGACTCTTTAACATGGTGAAAATTAAAAGTTAAATGCGCAAAGTCAATAAAAGCCGGCGATGGCGATACTAACAAATGGAAGCAAGAACGCGGCCGTTGGGAAATCCTTTAATGCCATCGCATTTGCATAGCAATATAGACATTGGGGGAAGTGCAGGAGTAGGGGGCGGATGATACATCAAGGACAATAGCTCGCCTCTTTGTGTCTTTTGTGCGGCACTTGCGACTGTTTCCCGCAGATAAAAACTCGGTTTGGTGCTTGAGCAGCGCCCACTAATAAAATGCACTTGCAGTAGTCGGAATTCGAAGGATGGATGGGAGGGCGGTCCTTCGGAATGGTTTGCGTTTTGTCTTTGCCGGCTGAGTGGCAGCGTTTGCTTTGCTAATTGATGCACTAGGCGCCTGTGTACTTTTCAATTACCATGCACTAAAAACTTGGGGATTTAAAGCTGGGAGAGTGCCCGGGCAGATGGAATTCTTCCCATAAAACTGATAGTCATCTGATTAAGCCATCAATACCCGAGGATAAAGGCGTGACCGGAATAATTGGAACAGTTTTATTTGCCCTGTTTGCCCAGCACCCTCTTCAACTGCAGTTGGTTGGGAGGAAAACAAAAATCAATTGTGGAAAAATATGCAAAGCGTTTTTAATTAAAATTTTGAGGATCTTGGTTGCACAGACCCCACGCAGCTAAGCTTGGCAAATTATAGAGAGCCAGAGCATTGGGCCGTGGATTATGGCCAGGGGCGAAAAATGGGCAAAAATCGAGGGCGAGGGCATTCCACAGTTGTTCAGATTTTTTAATTGCAATTGCAGCGCGCTCATTAAAGCGATAATAATTCAATGCAAATGAAATTTTCAAATTTTAATTTGCCCGACTAATGGGGAAAAGGCAAAGAGGGGCCGCAACAAAACGAAATTAGTTTGCCACATTTTCCATTTACGCACAATAAATTATCACTTTCCCTACAATAGCATATTATTATCATCGCATAATAGAGGGGTAAAGAGATTGTAGGAAGTGTTTACTGTGGCCATAGCAAACTTTGGGCACTTGCTTTTAGGACTAATTACTCAATTTATGTTCAATTTACTAATTTGTGGATGCTCCACTGTAACATTGGACATCGACATATGTATCCTGCCGGTCCTGGCTGGGCACACAGTGCGTATGATTAATGTTTAATTGCGTTATGCTGAGTGCAATCGCCGACTACACAGCTCGAAAATAAATGCAATCCTAATTTATTAGTGGCTGAAGTTCATTTCCGATATTGCAGTTAAGAACGGTTTTGCATTCAGAGTGCAGATAAATTTTAGCAGTTGTTCAAGGAGATTTTAAAATACTCTCCAAGCGAATTCTAAACCTTAAAAATATATAAGCATAAGTTCAAAGTTACCACAAGCACTCGACTTAAATATGCTGCTAGAATAAAAGTTCCTCTGATCTAAAGTCATTTGCTTTTAGGAATATTCAATAAGTCTTTACAATAAAAAATGTATGTAACTGAAATACATTTTTGTCCGGTTTGGTGCAAGTAAATTAAAGTGTTAAAGTGCATTAGACCTTACCATTTTCACTGACCCAGCTAATCAAATGAACATTTATTTATTGGTCCTGCATTTGGAGAATCCATGCAAACTCATAAATTGCATCCGTTGTTAGTCAAACTGATGAATTACCCGCAAGCCCAATAGAATCGAATCAGATGGCGACAACTCCATTAGCTATGAAAACCACCCGTGCCAGACACTTTCTGTGGTGATAAACATTGAAGCGGACAAACTCAACAAACCGGGCAGGGCATTATTGAAAACGAATCAAGACCAGCTGCTGTGTGACGCAGGGAAAACCAGATGAATAAATGGCTAGCATTTTGGACCAGTCCAAGACTCTTTGTCTAGCTTCGGTTTTGCCAAACTACACCAGACGCTTATTTGATCGCCGGGCGACGTCACTTAAGAGCAGCTGTTCATACCGTCAGCTAAGAGGTGAAAGTATAAAAGGCGTGTGAAACCGGCGATTAGGTATCACAGTTCAGTTCTACTGCTAGATACAAACACCCAACAAGATGCGTTCCTTCATCATCATCGCCCTGTTCGCTCTGGTGGCCGTGGCCGCTGCTCAACGTGGACCTGGTGGACGCGGAGGTGGCCGCGGAGGTCCTCGAGGTGGACCTCAGGGAGGACCTCAGGGAGGACCTCAGGGTGGACCTGGTGGACCTCAAGGTGGACCTGGTGGACCTGGTGGACCTGGTGGACCTGGTGGACCTGGTGGACCTCAAGGTGGACCTGGTGGACCTGGAGGACCTCAGGGTGGACCTGGTGGTCCTGGTGGTCCCGGAGGTCCTGGAGGTCCAGGTGGTCCTGGTGGACCCGGACCATGGGGTCCGCCTCCAAATGCCACTACCACCACATCGACAACAGAAGCCACCACTTCGACCACATCGACGACATCGACCACAACCACCGAAGCCACCACCACCACCGAAGCAACCACCACCACCGAGGCTTCGGCTTAATAAGAGAGCTCGCAGCCAATCTAAAATCCATTTTTGGCTTGTCCTCCTCCGCGCTTCCCTTGATATTAATAAAAGTCTTTCTTGCAAGAAGTAAATCTTTCTCACATTTTTCTAGACACATTGCGCACAAGATACTTGCATTACGCTTACAGGGAGAGAAATCAAAATATGACAATTTTTCAAATTTTTATTGAAAACAAATTGTTACCTTAATATGTTAGTTGTGCAGCTATTTGAGACATACAATTTTATTTGTCTCCCATGCAAATATTCTGTTTCTTTGTGGCAATATTTGTGTGTCGAAATGCTATCGAATATATATTTTTATTCAATTAAAAATGTTATATTAAAATCGGTTGAGAAATTCTTTCAGTACAGCCCAGTGATGGTTGAAAGGCTAGGAAAAAAAGAAGGCAAGCGCAGGGATTCGGAAATCGAAATGTAACTTATTCGCCAAGGCTGCATGGTGGCTGAAAGCCAGCGGCCAAGAGAGATTCGCTGGGTGCCTGCAACACTTGCAGAAGGCACGTCCTACGAAAAGGACGAGGCAGCAACAAAAGCCCGGCAAATCCAAGGATCCGCTGCAGTTCCTTTAGTCGCATTAAAGGATGAGGCTGCGCCAGCGCTTTTTCTTGGCTGCAATTATGTCCCACGGCGAACACACTTCGTAGGCATAAAAAACAGCTAAACACTTTATTTATGCAGTCTCGCTTGTCGTTTGTCTTGAAAGTTTTCGCATTAAACGAGCTGAGTTTGCCAAACTATGTGCACTGAAAATGAGTTTCGGTGCCAAAACATGGTAGACTAAAAAAACGCCTCTTTAAATGTGACTCTCAAATTCTCAACATTCTCCGGGGGAAGATTTGTGGCTCCCACTTGTTTGATCCCAAAGGAGCGAGGAGTTGCTGGAGAGGATTGGGGGCTATTTCGCTGTCATTGCTATGGATTTCCTCTCCACTCTCGAGCGACTTTAAGCGCCTTAAGAGCCATTGATGCCGGGCCTTTTTGTAGCTGAGGCAGAAATAGATCAAAAGTCAGAACCCACACACACGACGACCCCGAGGTTGGGGAAAAGGATGAGGACTGGCACAAAGACGGCGATGCGGACCCGTTGGTGGCACATTTTTATTGGTCATTAGTGCGAGCCTCTATCGGCATTCGTAAGCATTTACACATCGTTAAACTTTCATTTCCGGCAAATTAAGCGCATTTTATGTACCTTCTCCGTTCGGTCGCCCTCAGCTGAACTCCTCGTCCCCTCATTCTCTGCTGGTGTCGGGGTCACCCGTTGGTCGGTGTCAGCAGAATGACCACAACAAACGGACACCGAGAGAAAATATTTTCGTTGCTTTAAGTTGTGGAATCAGATCCTAAATCCATATAAGTGACAGCAACTCAATTATTTAACTAAATGGGTAGAAAAAAGTATCGCAAAAAAGCATGAGTAATATATTAAATACTATAGTTAAGCTCCCTTTATTAACATATCATTAATATTTATTTAGTCTATTAGATTCGTTTTTTGAATTACCTCGTTTGTTTTTACTGAAATGACCTACTATACTTACTTATTATTAAAAATAATTATGATTTAGTAATGTTTTCTGTTTTTTCTCCATCTGTAGGAAACTACCCAACGACTAGGCTCGTGCTCATGTCCCGGACTTGAGCATATTTAATGGAGGATAAGCAAACGGGCGCTGCCTCCGGGCGTGTCCCTTTCATTGTTTGTCTTTCAATCGAAAGTCAATAGCAAGGCCTGTCGTCCATGTACGGGCGCAGAGTATAAAAGGTTCTGCAATGCGGAGCGGCAGGACTTTTTCCAAACCCAACGATGTCGTTCTGGGCAGTGAGTCGCGGCCTGACGCCGCCTTCGAAGGTGGTGCCCATGCTGAATCCCAACCAGCGTCAGTTTCTCGAGGACGAAGTGCGCTACCGCGAAAAGCTTAAACTAATGGCGCGCGGCGATGCCATGGAAGAGGTGTACGTGCGGAAACAGGAGACCGTGGACGATCCCCTCGAACTGGACAAGCATGACTCGTTCTACCAGACCACCAAGAGCCTGCTGGTGTTGTTCCAGATCATGGGCGTTATGCCCATCCACCGCAATCCGCCGGAGAAGAATCTGCCCAGAACGGGCTACTCCTGGGGCTCCAAGCAGGTCATGTGGGCCATCTTCATATACAGCTGCCAGACGACCATTGTGGTGCTGGTGCTGCGCGAGCGGGTGAAGAAGTTCGTCACCAGCCCGGACAAGCGGTTTGACGAGGCCATCTACAACGTGATCTTCATCAGTCTGCTCTTCACCAACTTCCTGCTCCCGGTGGCCAGTTGGCGGCATGGACCGCAGGTGGCCATTTTTAAGAACATGTGGACCAACTATCAGTACAAGTTCTTTAAGACCACTGGCTCGCCGATCGTCTTTCCGAATCTCTATCCGCTCACGTGGTCGCTGTGCGTCTTCTCCTGGCTCCTGAGCATCGCCATCAACCTGTCGCAATATTTCCTGCAGCCGGACTTCCGCTTGTGGTACACATTTGCCTACTACCCCATCATCGCCATGCTCAACTGCTTCTGCAGCCTCTGGTGAGTATCCATGTTCTCCCCGAGTCTTATAAATGTTATATAAAATTCTGATCTTTTATGTTTATTTTTAGTTATAGGGCTTTTATTGTTTTAGGCAAATTACATTAATTAACTCTTTCGATCTTCCGCAGGTACATAAACTGCAACGCCTTCGGAACCGCCAGTCGCGCTCTCTCGGATGCTCTACAGGTGAAATGAAAATATTTCTAATTGCTATTAATTTCTAAAAAGTAATGTTTTAAACTGCAGACAACCATCCGGGGAGAGAAGCCTGCCCAGAAGCTGACCGAGTACCGCCACTTGTGGGTGGACCTCAGCCACATGATGCAGCAGCTGGGAAGGGCGTACTCGAACATGTACGGCATGTACTGCCTGGTCATCTTCTTCACCACGATCATCGCCACGTACGGGAGCATCAGTGAAATCATCGACCACGGAGCCACTTACAAGGAGGTGGGCCTGTTCGTCATCGTGTTCTACTGCATGGGTCTGCTGTATATCATCTGCAACGAGGCGCACTACGCCTCCAGGAAAGTGGGTCTCGACTTTCAGACCAAGCTGCTCAACATCAATCTGACCGCCGTGGACGCAGCCACCCAAAAGGAGGTGGAGATGCTGCTGGTGGCGATCAACAAGAATCCACCCATCATGAATCTGGACGGTTATGCGAACATCAACCGCGAGCTGATCACCACTAACATCTCTTTCATGGCCACCTACCTCGTGGTGCTGCTACAGTTTAAAATCACCGAACAGAGGCGCATTGGCCAGCAACAGTCCTAAAACTAAATCAATTTTTAAAATATATTAAGTTATTTAGGTTAAGATTTTGTGAAATTTAAATAAAACTCAATAATTTCCCCAGTTTGGGATAAATATGGAATTTTAATTTTCCGTTAGGTTTCGTTTAAATTTAAAAAGGACCTTTTTATGCTGATCCGGCAACCTTTTGTGTGAAAAACTATCTGTTTATATTGATCTGGCAGCATGATCAGTTAATGGGTGAAGCTTCGTTTCCAACTTACGGTTCTTTTCCAGTGAGATTTTACTCCGACTTGGAATCAGACACTTGTTACGGATTATGTTCGCCTGGTATCTGAAATCCAGACACCAATCATTTTTATGAAAAAAACCAGGATCCACATACGATCCACAAAATTATTCATACAGTCCACATACAATCCACATACGATCCACAAACTATAAAGCGGCAAATGTGTGTGGATCGCATGTGGATCCCATGTGGATGGTACGAACGATTTTGTGGATCGTATGTGGATCCTGATTTGTCTGTCAAATTGGCAGATTTCTCGAACTCAAATACCAGGCGAACAGAAATTACCAATAGGCTGCTGCTACTTTTAATGTAGGCAATACTAACGTCTAATGCCGAAAGCGACCTCTGTCGGGCGATCTCGGAAAGTGCAATAATTGGCTGCCTGAAAGTATGCTACTCTTTTTAAGCAAAACAAAAATAGCTTCAGCCCAAAAGATTGCAATGAAAACCCTTTCTTATTTGAATTAAAAAAAAACACAATTTTCTTCTGATGAGCTTTTATTAGACAATTCTTTAAAACAAAAATAGTTTATTGAAAAAGATTGCCTCAGTCGATGTCCAACTTTTTGAAGTTTCCCTCGATGCGGAGAAGATGTTAGGCGTCTTTGGCTTTGGCGGGTCCCAGTTTTTTTATCACCATTTGACGCATTCTTTCGTTTGTTGAACCACTTTTTGTAGCGAACCTCTGCGAAAAAATTAAGATAATTTTTTAGATATGATTTCTTATGAATTATATTATTTTACTTACCATAAGCTTGACTTCTCCGATAGACCGTCTCCCTGGAGAAACATTTCCTTAAGCACCAACCTATTATAATTCTTTCCAGTCGCTGTGCATATGTAGTCCTAAATTGAAAAAAAAAACAAATAAAAATAAAAATATAAACATTAAAAAAGAGTAATCGATATTTTAAGAATTATATTTTGTTTTTGTCAAAATTTAAGACTTGTAATTCCAAGTTTAAAACTGAAATCATATTTCTGACCAAAAAATACATTAACCTATTTTCTATCTGCTTTTGATCTGCCTTTTGCTGTCTAGTCTACTCTGTGCCACAACTCTTTTTCCTACTAAATTTTATACAAATTTTCTGCTTCGACACAAATTTCTACCTACCTTTGGATCCTCTTCCACCGATGAATAATGTGCCATCGACGCAGCCAGGACTACAGTAACAACACCTACCTCGGCCTCCATTTGGGCACCCAGCTCTTTCGTGCCGTGATCCTTGACTCCAAACTGGCCGTCACATACACTGCGCAGATTCGCTATGATATTGATCTGCCCGAATTCGGTAGCACCAATGGAGTTCTGCCGGACAGTGGCCCTGGTGAGTACCTGGCCAATCCGGTGATGTGGGTGAAGGCCTTGGACATGCTGATAGACTGCCTAGTGAAGCAGGGTGCGGATATGCACTCGGTGGCCTCGATCGGCGGAGCGGCACAGCAGCATGGCTGCGTTTTTTGGTCAGACTTGGGCCTAAGACGTGTATGTAACTTGAATGCGAACCTGCGACTCCATGAACAGATTACGGAGAGCGCCTTCGAGTTGACCAGGACGCCCACGTGGCGAGATAGCTCCACGGATCAGCAAGTGCGCGAAATGGAGTACGCCGTCGGCGGTCCCGCCGAGCTGTCTAGTATCACGGGTTCCAGGGCGTACTCACGGTTCACGGGCCCCCAAATCCGAAAGGTGTTCACCCAGTGTCCAGAGCACTATGAACGAACCTCCAGGATCTCCTTAATCAGCAGCTTTTTGGCCTCGTTGCTCATAGGCGGCATTGCCTCCATCGACTACACCGACGGCTCGGGGATGAACCTGCTCGACATCCGGCGAAAGAAATGGTCTCCGGAGTGCCTGAATGCCTGTGCTCCCGACTTGGCAAGGCGTTTGATGAAGCCCATTCCTTCTTCTCGGCTGCAAGGACGCGTTGCGGATTACTACGTGAAGCGCTGGAATTTCCGTCCCGACTGCATGGTTGTGGCATCCGCGGGGAGCAAGGCCTCGGAACTGGCTGGGCTCCTGGTGGAGAAGGACTTCCTCATGCTGTCGCTGGACACCAGCGACGTGGTGGTGATGCCTCTAAAGAAGGCTCCCTGCCTGGAGGAGGGGCACGTGATGTGCCATCCCACCAAGACGGATGAGTACATGGGCCTACTGTGCTTCCACAATGGAGCTTTGGCCCGAAGAGCCGTCTGCGAGGAGGTGGCCTACGGCAGTTGGCAGCGCTTCTACAAAATGCTGGATGCCACGCCCGCGGGCAACAGTGGTCATGTGGCCGTGCACTTTCGGGATCGCGAGATTATTCCCATTGCCCGGGGTGTTCTGCGCTGGGGTCCCAACACAGACTACATGACCCAGGAGTGCTTGCTCGGCCGCCCCAAATTCGAAACGCCGGAGATCGAAGTGCGAGCGGTGATCGAAGGCCAGATCATGCACCACTGCGCCATTGCCCGCGAAATGGGCTTCCATCAGGCGCCGGACACCAAGATCATCGTGGTGGGCGAGGACTCCAGGAGCCAGAATGTCCTGCAAATCGTGGCGGATATATTTAATGCGCCCGTTTACCAGAGAACCGGCATCGAAGTCAGCTTGTTGGGCTGCGCATTTCGCGCGCGTTACGCCTTCTACGAGCATCGGGAATCCTCCTGCAACTGTCGATCCTGCAAAATGCCCAAGGGCCGGAAGCCGAGGCTCAGCTATGCTGAGTTCCTTCAGAACGTCCCCTCCGGCTTGAAACTGGCCGCGGAACCAACTCCAGGCTGCGAAAAGATTTACAGACCACTTATCGCGCGATGCTCGCAAATTTGCCAGCTGCTTGCAGCCAAATCAACAGTGTACATCATCGACCAGGATCCATAAACTTTAACTAGGTGCCTTTCCTTGTTCCTTTCTATGTTTCTACGCAAATCAATAAAGTATCCTAAAGTAAACTAAAGAGTGATGAAGTACTAAGTCGAAGGGCTTTGGGGAATGTGCCTAGAAATCCTCATCCCAGCCCGAGAGCTCGTCCGGCGGCTCGTTTAAATCACACGGGAAGCGGTCGAAGTAGCGCACGTCCGTGGGATGGGCAATGGGCCGGACGAAGGGTGGGATGAGCAGCTGACTGGACAAGCCGTCCCAGTCGAATCCCAGGAACCACCTGCAGGATAATAGAGATTTAAATATACCTGTCCTTTTATGGCGTTTTAAGATGCCACTCACTTGTGCTTCTTAATATCCTGGATACCTCCAGTCTGGTAGCCAAGTCGCTCCGAGGGAACATCGCGGCAAAGGCGCTTGATGAGCTGCACAGCCCATCGGGACATGTGCTTGGGGAAAGCGATCATGTCAATGCCCTTTAGAATGAGGTTGTACGTCTGCATGGGATCCGGAGCACTAAACGGCGGCCTGTCAATAGGGATGGTATTAATTGGTATATCAGAAGGCCATTTGATCAGTGTACGTACGTTCCGTTTAGCAGTTCATGGATGAGGATGCCCAATGCCCAGTAGTCCACGGCTCGGTCATGACCTTTGTTCAGAATGATTTCGGGCGCCACATACTCTGGGGTGCCGCAGAAGGTCCAAGTTTTGGTACTCGTTCCGATCTGCTTGGCGAAGCCAAAGTCCACAATCTTCACGTAGCCGCGCTCATCCAGCATCAGGTTTTCGGGCTTCAGATCTCGGTAGATGATGCCACGAGCGTGCAGATACTCGAAGGCCTGCAGAACACACCCAATGATGAACTGCGCCGCGTTGTCCTCGAAGGAGCCGCGATCCCTGAGCATGGTCCAGATCTCGCCACCCATGCAGGCCTCCAGCAGCATGTAGACGTACTTCTCGTCCCGGAAAGTGCGATACAATCGGCAGACAAAGGGCGACCTCGAACTGAGCATTATGTGCCTTTCGCTGAAGATGTGCTCCTCCTGTTTGGTGTCCACAATGTGCCGCTTCTTCAGGCATTTGAGGGCAAAGGTGTCCACACGGTCTTGATGGTGGGCCTTGACCAACTCCACTCGGCCAAAGCCACCGATGCCCAAGGTGCTGACCACCTCGAGGTCGGTGAGCTTGAGGTCGGGAAACTCCTGCTGCAGCTGCTCTTTCGGCTCATCCCGGCTGCTTTCCCTCGCCTGCTTCATGGCCAGCATCCGGCTCTCATCGCCGTAGTCCTTCTCCTTCAGCTCGCAGAGATCGCCAATCAGCCGCTTGAAGGAGTCCCTGTCCAAAGTCAGACACTCCACCCCTGGTGACAGGGCTATAATGTTGGCCGTTCGCTTGTCCTCGTTGATCAACGCCTGTTCTCCGAAGTAGTCTCCCCTGGAAAGAGTTCGTAGCTCCGTTTCCTCCAAGGACGAGGGCGTTAGCTTCTGAGTCACACGGACATTGCCCTGTGAGATCAGGAAGAAGCTGTCTCCGGCGGTTCCCTGGCGGATGATGTAAGTGCCAGCGGCATAGAACTCCAGCTCCAGAACATCCGCGATCTTGGCCAGCAGCTCTTCACTGAGGTTCTTCAGCAGCGGAACCGATCTCAGGAAGTTCACGCTGTTCTCGATTCGCTGCAGACCCGTGCACATCATGATCTGCTGGAAGACCCTTCGGTCGAGAACCCAAACCCTTGCCGCCTCGCTTAGCACTCGAATAGAGGCCGTCCTTGTGCAATTGTAAAGGATCGCCAGCTCGCCAAACGCCTTGCCCGGGCCCATCTTGTCCAGTACTTTGCCCTGCTGCATCACCGCAAACTCGCCGGCGGCCGAGACATACAGATGTGCACCCACCTCGCCCTCGCGGATCACAAACTCGCCGGCGACGATGCTCTTCGAGTACATCGAGTCCACCAGTTCGCGCACCTGCGATGCGTCGATGTTCTTCAGAAAGTCGTTATCCATTATGGCGTCTTTGATTTGCTGCTTGTTACTAACAAAAAAATTAAAATTGGGAGGTGAAGCTAATTAGTTTATAAATGGGTTACTTCAACTTGCCGACAAAAAGTTAACCTTTTAATTTAAGTTAAAAAACCTAATACCCTTATACCCTTAATTCATTGCACCATGTAATTTTGCTAGACAAAAAGTGAATAACAAAAGTGTACTTCAAGAACTACTAATAAATTTACTTTTCGCAAAAATACTACTTTTTCCATGATAATTTCATCGCTTTGTTTATAAGTAATTAAAAAAACTCACCTGAAATCCTTGTCATATTTTGGAATTGGTATGCTGTAGGAGTGTTGCATGGACTGCACGCAGCTCTCGGCGGAAACACCTTGCTTCTTAATGGCAGCGGGCATTGCCTTGGGTCGAGGTTCTTCGGCGGAGGCGGATGCAGATGCGGAGGGCGATGTGGAAGGCGATGAGGCAAGTTGCCCCGAGTGGGGCAGCGGTCCCAGGGACAACGCCTCCAGGGCGAACTCCGGACTGGTGGGCAGCACCATTCCACAGGAGCTGCAGACGTGGGGATCCCGATCCCTGCCTTCCTTCTCGACACATTGCTCCGGCAAAGAGTATAGCTTCGTCTTGGTCTTTTCGTTCCGGGTGACGTTCAGGTGGTTGGTGGTCTGCTGAAGCACACTCTGGAAAAAGTGAGAGATAGGAGCAACAATTGTCATGCGTCGTTTAATCAATTCCTGGGCAATTGGGAGGCAATCAATCGATGGGAGCGCGTGATGCCCTCGACACCAGAAACCCAACTCAATTAGGTGACCCACTGCGGATGGCATTCACGTGCTCTCACGATGACAAATGCCGGCATTAAAGGCACTGAGAGGTTTGCTTTTAAGTTTCTTAAATGAAATCACGTGATTAAATACTTGTGTGCAATTTTAAATTAAGATTAATGGATCATATAATTGGATTTATAAAGACTACATATAAGATATAATGTTACAATTAGATAATTATTTAATTAAAAAGATTTTCTTATTCAAAATACAACCAATTTCTGAATTTCTATATTAAACAAATTTTTTATGCGTGTATGCCAATTGGGTGCGTTTCTTGACTCCCTTATCACAGTCCGTAAATAGAATGCTAAATTTTCCCCGAGGCGGTGACCCAAAAAACGGCACAGATAAAGCCGTAACCAAAAAGCAAATCCGAATCCGAGGCGCCTCCCCAGAAAGTAGACCTAGTCATAGCTCCAGTTTCGATTCCATTTCCAGCTCAGAGGGTAAACAAGATAAGCCGAATGTCAGGGCGAGGTGTTACCACCCCTTCCCATCGCCAACCACCTCTTGCTTGTTTTCCAAATTATTTGCATATAAATTAGCATTTCAAAAACACTCTTCGGTGGCCCAGCTCGTATTTCCTTTTTCTCGCTCGTCGCTCTTTTATTTCAGTTTCGGTTACTTTTTTTCAAGATGCGCGTGCTGCCCCGGTCGGAACTATATTATCTATGTATCTTTGTATCTCTGTATCTCTGTTTACCCACAAAGTAATCTGGGGATCTGGGACCGGCAGGGAACCAGAGGGGGAGCTGGATCAACTGCTCGAGCTGGAGGTGATCCGGCAATTAGCGACGCACACTCGCGAGGCGTTTGAATTAAGTGGCGAAGAGCTTTACATCTCGCTAAAGAAACAATTCTCTACGGATGCCACAAGGCTAGGAAAATGTTTATGACAAGGCGATATGTTGGATCTTCAATAATCAGCTTTCTTAGCAATTTTACTTTAAATCAAGGTGTTCAATCGAAGATAATATATCTATATCTATAATTTAAAGTTGATTTTTTCAAACTTGGAACTTGGGAAGGAATTATAGCAATTCCTCAAGAATCCATAAGCTTTTGTATAACCATGAGTACAGATTAGGTTCCCCCAAATTCGCAGTCATAGCTCTCCGACTTTATAGCCCCAATTAATGAGATAATAGAAATTAAACGATATTCGGCTTCCAAATGTTTTTGAGAAGTGGCTACCGAGTATCTCGCAGTCGCAAGTCTTAAATTTGTGCCGCTCTCCACTCGACTCTTTGGGCTATAAAATTGTGAACGTCGAGATCTCGCCAAGAAGTGCTAATCACTTGGCCCAATAAATCTACCTTACAGTTAAATATGTGCGGATGGAAGACAGGGGGGTTCAAGTACAAATTTATAAGGCAGAGGAAAAGGGGTTCGGAGCGTTAGATAGATACGAATATCTAGCAGATACGAAGGCAAGGGCATGGGTTAGCCCCCCCCGGTCCCCCTTCCTCCCCTGCGGTTCAGTGGGGTAGGCATATGGTATATGGGGTGTATCTGATATCTGGGCAGAGTCTGCTGCTGTTCAACAGATAACGCTGTGACAGAGGAGGGGACTGTGTCTGTCGGGGTGTGTATTTGCAGATACTTTTGTATCTCTGCGATACACAAAGCGAATTCGAATTTAGTCCGAAAAATAGTGCGGTGTGGTGGCTCCTGCTTATCTGCCAGGGGCAGCAAACAAAAACAGAGCAAACAAAGCGATGCGATAGACAGCGATGGATGGCTTTTCCCGCATTTCCCCGCCTGGCTGGTTTCACCTACTGACTTTTCTGAGGCGTTTCTCACCTTCAGTTTGTGGATTTCCCGGTGCAGCTTGACCAGCTCGCTTTCCCGACTCCGCACCATTTCCCTCAAAGACTGCACATCCTTGGTCAAATTGCTGACAATCGCCTCCCGCTCCCGATCCGTCATTGCCGTGGCCATTTCGATCAGCTGTTGGGTCAAAGGTCACTTAGCTGCCCAATCTCCTTCCTTGGGATCTGCGATGTGAGGGCTCTCGGCTAGTCTTATTCCATTCAGGCGGAGATGCTTCTCCGCTGCGATTCGCTGGCGGTTTGGTTGCGCGCGCGATTCATTAGCGACTGCCATCAGGTGGCGATCGACGCGGCGTATACGTGATTTATCAGAGAGAGAACGACAGAGAGGGCTTTGGAATAAAAGAGCCCCAAAAAAGAGCGATCTCGGATTATCAGCAGAGTGAACCAAAACCAAAGAGCGCATAATGCCAATCTAAGGGGCTACCAGCACATGCAAAGCCGAACAATAGGCAATTTTCTTGATTTTATTTACGAAAACTAATAAACTGTTTATACGATAAAAGTATTATCAAGGTACTTTAATACTCTTTTTGAGTACGTTTAAAAAATTTACGTTTAGTAGCTTTTAAATAATTTTGCCCTTTTGGAGATTATTGAGTTTAAAGTTCCAATTTCAGCTATCACAAAAGATTCTTTGCAATCGAAGGACACATTTCGGTAAATATTAAAGAAAGAAAGACTTGGAATGTGGCTAACATTTTATTAAATAGTTAAACTTAGAAATATGAAAAAATAATACAAGCAAACTAAAAGGAGCAAGTGGCGGTAAACCAAATGGCAACTTAATTTGGCTTTACGGTGGCCCCGAAAACAGAACGCAGCCACAAAAGCCGGGCCTAATTTGATGATGACAACAAACGCGACATCCACGGGGGACAAGAGATGCTGTTGATGGGTCAAGAGGGGAGTGGGGTGGTTAAAAGTGGTATAAAATTGGTATAAAAGGGCCGGGAAGTGAGAGGGCTAGGGCAAATGCGAAAACGAGATTTAAAACTTAAAAAAGTGCAAAATAAAAACGAAAATGCGAAATGGCAGCCAGCAGATATGAAAACGAAAGTCAACAAAGACATTGAATGAAGCGAGAAGGACAAAATTAGGGAGAACGGATATACGGATATATATAAGGTAGCCAAGCAGCCTGCGAACTGAAGACATTTGAACACCGCAACTAAAGACAATATTCCTTAGCATAACAATCCTTCTATCTTGAATAAATATACAACACAACAAAGAAAATCGTTTAAATTTTCTTTTTATTGTAAAACTTAAATAAAAACTCTTTCTTCAGTTTCAACTAACTTAGTTTTGATTAAACAAACCTATCGTATCATATGTTATTCGAATGTAGATTTTTTGAGAATCAAATTACGAGTCGAAGGAGATATGCCACTTTCAAATCGGATAAAATTTGGTCAAGTAATGGCCTCCGGAAGTCCATATGTAGGCCACTTTTTAACAACACATAGGAAACTTGGAAATAAATGACATGAAACGGGTCAAAAATTGAACCAACGTTAAATTGAAATTTTAGAATTCAGATTTTTTGAGGATCAAATTATGAGATAGGCCACTTTCAAATCGGATAAAATTTGATATAGTTATGGCCTCCGGAAGTCCATATGTAGGCCACCTTTTAACAACACATCGGAAAATTGGAAATAAATGACATGAAAATGGGTCAAAATTTGGACCAACGTTAAATTGAAAATTTTGAATGCAGATTTTTTGAGGATCAAATTACGAGTCGAAGGAGATATGCCACTTTCAAATCGGATAAAATTTGGTCAAGTAATGGCCTCCGGAAGTCCATATGTAGGCCACTTTTTAACAACACATCGGAAACTTGGAAATAAATGACATGAAAATGGGTCAAAATTTGGACCAACGTTAAATTGAAAATTTTGAATGCAGATTTTTTGAGGGTCAAATTTCGAGTCGAAGGAGATATGCCACTTTCAAATCGGATAAAATTTGATATAGGTATGGGCGCCGGAAGGCCATATGTAGGCCACTTTCTAACAACACATCGGAAACTTGGAAATAAATGACATGAAAATGGGTCAAAATTTGGACCAACGTTAAATTGAAAATTTTGAATGCAGATTTTTTGAGGATCAAATTACGAGTCGAAGGAGATATGCCACTTTCAAATCGGATAAAATTTGATATAGTTATGGCCTCCGGAAGTCCATATGTAGGCCACCTTTTAACAACACATCGGAAAATTGGAAATAAATGACATGAAAATGGGTCAAAATTTAGACCAACGTTAAATTGAAAATTTTGAATGCAGATTTTTTGAGGGTCAAATTACGAGTCGAAGGAGATATGCCACTTTCAAATCGGATAAAATTTGATATAGTTATGGGCGCCGGAAGGCCATATGTAGGCCACTTTTTAACAACACATCGGAAACTTGGAAATAAATGACATGAAAATGGGTCAAAAATTGGACCAACGTTAAATTGAAAATTTTGAATGCAGATTTTTTGAGGATCAAATTACGAGTCGAAGGAGATATGTCACTTTCAAATCGGATAAAATTTGATATAGTTATGGGCGCCGGAAGGCCATATGTAGGCCACCTTTTAACAACACATATAGGAAACTTGGAAATAAATGACATGAAAATGGGTCAAAAATTGGACCAACGTTAAATTGAAAATTTTGAATGCAGATTTTTTGAGGATCAAATTACGAGTCGAAGGAGATATGCCACTTTCAAATCGGATAAAATTTGATATAGTTATGGGCGCCGGAAGGCCATATGTAGGCCACCTTTTAACAACACATCGGAAACTTGGAAATAAATGACATGAAAATGGGTCAAAATTTAGACCAACGTTAAATTGAAAATTTTGAATGCAGATTTTTTGAGGATCAAATTACGAGTCGAAGGAGATATGCCACCTTCAAATCGGATAAAATTAATATAGTTATGGGCGCCGGAAGGCCATATGTAGGCCACCTTTTAACAACACATATAGGAAACTTGGAAATAAATGACATGAAAATGGGTCAAAATTTAGACCAACGTTAAATTGAAAATTTTGAATGCAGATTTTTTGAGGATCAAATTACGAGTCGAAGGAGATATGCCACTTTCAAATCGGATAAAATTTGATATAGTTATGGGCGCCGGAAGGCCATATGTAGGCCACTTTTTAACAACACATCGGAAACTTGGAAATAAATGACATGAAAATGGGTCAAAATTTGGATCAACGTTAAATTGAAAATTTTGAATGCAGATTTTTTGAGGATCAAATTACGAGTCGAAGGAGATATGCCACTTTCAAATCGGATAAAATTTGATATAGTTATGGGCGCCGGAAGGCCATATGTAGGCCACCTTTTAACAACACATCGGAAACTTGGAAATAAATGACATGAAAATGGGTCAAAATTTAGACCAACGTTAAATTGAAAATTTTGAATGCAGATTTTTTGAGGATCAAATTACGAGTCGAAGGAGATATGCCACTTTCAAAATTTGATATAGTTATGGGCGCCGGAAGGCCATATGTAGGCCACTTTTTAACAACACATCGGAAACTTGGAAATAAATGACATGAAAATGGGTCAAAAATTGGACCAACGTTAAATTGAAAATTTTGAATGCAGATTTTTTGAGGATCAAATTACGAGTCGAAGGAGATATGCCACTTTCAAATCGGATAAAATTTGATATAGTTATGGGCGCCGGAAGGCCATATGTAGGCCACTTTTTAACAACACATCGGAAACTTGGAAATAAATGACATGAAAATGGGTCAAAATTTGGATCAACGTTAAATTGAAAATTTTGAATGCAGATTTTTTGAGGATCAAATTACGAGTCGAAGGAGATATGCTACTTTCAAATCGGATAAAATTTGATATAGTTATGGGCGCCGGAAGGCCATATGTAGGCCACCTTTTAACAACACATAGGAAACTTGGAAATAAATGACATGAAAATGGGTCAAAATTTGGACCAACATTAAATTGAAATTTTTGAATGCAGATTTTTTGAGGATCAAATTACGAGTCGAAGGAGATATGCCACTTTCAAATCGGATAAAATTTGATATAGTTATGGGCGCCGGAAGGCCATATGTAGGCCACTTTTTAACAACACATCGGAAACTTGGAAATAAATGACATGAAAATGGGTCAAAATTTGGATCAACGTTAAATTGAAAATTTTGAATGCAGATTTTTTGAGGATCAAATTACGAGTCGAAGGAGATATGCCACCTTCAAATCGGATAAAATTTAATATAGTTATGGGCGCCGGAAGGCCATATGTAGGCCACCTTTTAACAACATATCGGAAACTTGGAAACAAATGACATGAAAATGGGTCAAAAATTGGACCAACGTTAAATTGAAAATTTTGAATGCAGATTTTTTGAGGATCAAATTACGAGTCGAAGGAGATATGCCACTTTCAAATCGGATAAAATTTAATATAGGTATGGGCGCCGGAAGGCCATATGTAGGCCACCTTTTAACAACACATAGGAAACTTGGAAATAAATGACATGAAAATGGGTCAAAATTTGGACCAACGTTAAATTGAAATTTTTGAATGCAGATTTTTTGAGGATCAAATTACGAGTCGAAGGAGATATGCCACTTTCAAATCGGATAAAATTTGATATAGTTATGGGCGCCGGAAGGCCATATGTAGGCCACTTTTTAACAACACATCGGAAACTTGGAAATAAATGACATGAAAATGGGTCAAAATTTGGATCAACGTTAAATTGAAAATTTTGAATGCAGATTTTTTGAGGATCAAATTACGAGTCGAAGGAGATATGCCACCTTCAAATCGGATAAAATTTAATATAGTTATGGGCGCCGGAAGGCCATATGTAGGCCACCTTTTAACAACATATCGGAAACTTGGAAACAAATGACATGAAAATGGGTCAAAATTTGGACCAACGTTAAATTGAAAATTTTGAATGCAGATTTTTTGAGGATCAAATTACGAGTCGAAGGAGATATGCCACTTTCAAATCGGATAAAATTTGATATAGTTATGGGCGCCGGAAGGCCATATGTAGGCCACTTTTTAACAACACATCGGAAACTTGGAAATAAATGACATGAAAATGGGTCAAAATTTGGATCAACGTTAAATTGAAAATTTTGAATGCAGATTTTTTGAGGATCAAATTACGAGTCGAAGGAGATATGCCACCTTCAAATCGGATAAAATTTAATATAGTTATGGGCGCAAGAAGGCCATATG